CCCGCCCGAACTGCTCTCTGACCCTTTTTTGCCGCGCTGATCAGTGCAATTTCCATACAGCTTTCAATGGAACCGCGCTGATCCGCAACCGCCCTGGTGTGCATGGGTCCTAACAGGAGGTGAGATGGCACAGTAGTAAGAGCTGACGTTTCCGCAAGTTAAAGCCGAGCTCCGGGCGGGTCTAAATCGTACAAATGAATAACCGCAGCTCTGTAATCGCCAATACATCCATTAAATGTGAGCGTAGTAACAAATGAACCTAATATCAGCCTCTTGCAGTCCCTTTACAGCAGAGATGGAATAGGAGAGGAAGAAGCAGCATCCCAAGGAGCCAATCGGTTCATGAGCTGGCAAGAAGCAGACTGATAGGAGGAGAGAGCAGAGATGAGCTCACCACTGTGCTGCTTCTCCTTTCACTGTTCAGTTACAGGCTGTGGGCTTGTACAGGATGACCTGGGCTCAGAGGAAGTGGGTTAAATGATGCTGAACATCAGACTGAGGACATCTGATGGCAGAGATAATGTACTGCAGGGGAACTCTCTGGACTAAAGCTGAATATTGCAGTAAAATATGTTGATGTTTTGTTATATTGTCTTTTTCATTTTAATCTGGTTTCTGGCTGGAATTCCATTTTAACTCTTATGAAGAGCTTTATTGTTTGCCTGGAGATGAGCTCAAAGCACACCGTGTCCTCTAATTAGTTACCTGTTGAAATCGGCTCCCATTACATCACCAGAGAGAACTCTTACACTACGTTACCAGAGGGTCCCCGAGAGAGGCAGCCACTTCCTGTCTACATGCACTCCAGCAATGGCTGCATGGCATTACTCAATGGCGGGTTTCCTGTTGGTGACAGTGGACCATGACTGTCTAATGTGTGTTTTTGAAATGGCCACTTGTGGTTGTTTATCAGAAGCCTGAGTGACAACACTGGAGCTTAGTTGGGAGACACGGACAGAGCATTGTCGCTCTATAACAGGAAGTGCCAGAACAAGGACCTCCATGGCAGGATCACCGGGGAGTATTTCTAATAAAGCTGCAGATTTACAAACCTTAAAAACGGCTTTCGGAATGAGAATCAGAATGAGATTTCAGCGATTTTCCTTTTGTTGACATTCTCGGGAAGATACGACTTCTAATTTCTAAATAAAGGAGAAAGGGCAGTTCGAGGCAAACCCAAAATTTGAAGTGGTGTGTTTGGGAAGGGGGCCTTGATGGAGTGATGAAGATGATTCAAGCCTAGCAATGGCGTAATCACACCGTGCTCCCAGGGCCGGATTTACTCTCCCTGCCGCCCCAAGGCCATGTTCCGCAATAGCCACCACCCTTTTCCCATCGATGGAGAATGGCAACCAGATGGCAGGGCGGCTGGGTTAGTTTCAATGTTTTTTTGCTGTTTTTATTTTTTATTATTTTTTTATTTAATTATTTCTTATTTGTTTCTTTTCATTACAGCTCTGTGACAAACTCCACTCTCACCGTCCACCTCGGCTGCTACCAACTTTCCAGTCCAAATTCGCAGGAGATTTCTGTTGGGGTGAAAAACATCATAAGGAATCCCAAATTTACAGATGTGGGCTCGTTGGGGGACATCAGCCTCATAGAGTTGAAGACACCGGTCAACTATACCGCATACATCCTCCCGGTCTGTCTGCCCACTGCCGATGTGAACTTCACCATGGGACTGCAGTGCTGGGTCACCGGCTGGGGGAGCATCAGGTCCGGAGGTAGGTTCTGTATTTCTGTAGTTAAATCACAAGGTTCTTGTCGTATACCCCACCGGCTCTCTACAAGGCCAACAGGAAGGATCAGGAAGAGGAAAGTGTGGGGCCAGGCACCAATGCTTATGTATGTGTCATCAGTTGCTCAGTAAGCAAGGCTGGATTTCCCACAAGGCCAACCAAGGCCCGGCCTCGGGGCAGCAGGGAGCAGAGGGGCAGCAGGGGTGTGAAATTCCTATCTCCTGATGCCCAGGCGGGTAGTTGCTTCCTACATTTAGCCCTGCTTTTGGCAAGCAGAGCTAAATGTAGAGCGGGGAAGCCACCGCTTGTTTTCTACAAGTAATCTTGGCGACATTGTATGCAGCCTGCAGGTCTGCCATTCTCCATGGGGCAGGGGGGGAGGAGGGGGGGTGGGGTTGGCAGGTAGGAGGGCACATTATTGAGGAACCTGGCCTTGGGGCAGCAGAGAGAGTTAATCCGGCCCTATCAGTAAGATACATTTTGGGGATTTGAATGCATTTTTAAGGTTTAACTCTTGGGTTTAGTGTCACTTTAAGTGGTATCTGTATCCGGATATAGGTCACATGTTGGCCCAACTACTCATTGATATGAACTTACTTGAGAACATAAGTAATTTAATAGTTATTTTTGTCTGAAAAAGTAATATTACCATAAACTTGTCAGATTATTTCTTGATAAATCTACGCTGCCTCCTTGTCCATTCCATAGTTCCAAGGACAAATGATTGACAGATTGTTATACTGATGTTGAATGTGAAAAGGTTAAAAAATCGGATTGGCCCCAATAATTAAATGTTGAACTTACAATCAATGTATTTGCAGTGAGTCTCCCGAGCCCTCAGACTCTGCAGGAGGCCCAGATCCCCCTGATCGATATAAAGACCTGCGACTCTCTCTACCATATCCAGTCTGATGTCAGCAGCTCGGTTCCCATAATCCTGAGCGATATGATATGTGGGGGATACCAAGCAGGCGGAACAGACTCCTGTCAGGTGAGTCTCATGGTAAACCTGCTGAATGAAGACCTTACTACTTGTCATCGAAGTGTATCTGTTGTTCTGCAACCTAAACCTCCTCTATATACAATAGCAAGGATTGGGCAACTCTTGACTTTAACTAGAAAGTCGGTGTGTGGCATTGGGTCTCCCTAGTGGTGGGTACACTTGCCATTTTGCCATTGCTCTTCTCTTACCCCATTTGTTTGTAAGCTCCAGGTCGCCCTAGCCATAGATTACACAGATGAAGATTCTTTCCCCACACCTATGTGACCATACTGGGTCTACACTAATGGCTTGGGTATCCAGGGCTGCAGCATGGGTGGAAGAGAAGAGTCACATCCTCCCTTTGCCTGGTAATACTGGGTATTGCACATTGCTTCTGGGTGCCTGATGGGTGCAGCAGATCAGCAACAGCAGGTGAGTATAAGCACCTGGAAGGCAGACTAACTCAATTGCACCCAGTCAGACCCCC